ATACCATTCTTTAGTACCGATTGCGAAAAGCTGTATGATGTCTTCTTTTTCTTCCGTTACTCGTGTAATTCCGATCCAGTTATCGTTTTCGTCTTTGCTATTCAAATCAATCTGAAAATAAAACTGAGTTGTAGACCAAGATTTTTCGCTCATGACCAGCCTAAAATTCCCGCCTTAGTACCCTTAAAACCTTATTCGGACAACTTCTGATAGAATGATTCAATTAGGTATTGAAATCTTATGTTTTAGCGCCATACAGTTTGAAATGAAAATTCTGTTTCAATTGTCATGCGAGTCATACTAAAACCTATTTTGCTGACGCGTGCCCCCTTTTACCTAGCCCAAGACCCTCGTGCCCCCAACTCGAGACCCTCATGTCTACGCGAAGCTCAGGCAATGCTGAAGTAGTACTTCTTGTGTAGATGTACCATTATTTCCGTTTCTTCAAAGACCACGTGCAGGATGGCGTATAGTTCCCTAGGGTTCAATCTGCCCCTGTTCGGATGGTAAACCGGCATTGAAATCTCTCTTATCCCTTTTTCAACCAGGAAGTCCCTCAGCCGTGTCAATGCCAGCATCACATGCTCAGGATCTATCAGGTTTCTCTCACTGACTATTGTCACCAAAAATCATAAGTATTTGCCAGGAACCTGCGAATTTGAAGATGGAAGTTCGGCCATACCCTCCAATTGCGATCTCTACCTGAACAGAAACTCCACATTCTGGTACTCTCTCTTAAAATCGGCTTCCAATCTGGTGATAAAACTCATGTCCGCTGTTATACAAATTTTGCTGGTCTTATCTGACAAGATAAAATCACTGTTCGTGATCAGGATGTTCTCTGAGTACACATTTGGTATCTCGAATTTGGTCTTGAAATTTCTTCCGATGGTAGGCTCGGCTTCTTCCTGATCAGGGTCCAGTCCGTTAGTCTCTCTCGTTTCTCTGAGTTTCTTTATCATCAAAATTTCGGTGGGTAAGTCCTACCCCCAATCCCCGGACAAAAAATTTATCGACGTCCCCGTCGGTGGTGCTGGGCTCAAGTTATCAGGTGGTATGTCCAACGGTCGGTCTGTCGCCGTGCAACCAAACAACGAGTTTCCTTCTTTCAGATTCTTCCCCGCTGATATGTCCAATTGTTGGATGCTTTGCGTTTCTTTGTCGTCAGCCTGCAGACCATGAATTCACTCTAGTATCCTCAGGTTTGTGTTCTCCCTTCTGTCTATCTCGCTCTGTTCCAGGTCAATTTCTTTCCATGGTGAGGTGTGGTCTTCTTGCCACGAGTGCTCACTGTCGTTGATGATCTGCCACACCTCATCTGCTACCAGATTGCCCACGGTCACCATTTCTTGACCTTGCTCTTCTGGCTGTATTTTGGCAATCAAGAAGTCCTCACGGTACCTGTTATGCCTATTCCTGTCTTTTTGCATCCACCCTTTCTTGTTTCCGTCGTCATGGGCAGATCCGGTTCTGTCCATTTTGGCATTTCGTCCTGCTTTGGTTCGTTCCAGTCCTCTTCTGCAGAAGATGCTTCGTCCGAACCCACCTCTATTTTTTCATTGTCGTCCATACTCATGCTCTCGTTGCCATCATTCTTCCCTCTGGTGCCTTTCTCATTTACCTCGCACGCTGGCTCCACAAGTAGATACTCGAGTCCCTCCATGTTCTGCAGTACGCACCATTCTTCAGGTGATGGGACGTGAGGTTTCAGAACTTTATAGTGCGCCGCGCGCCCTGTGCTCAAGCTATAGAACCGACTCTGCTGGTGCACTTCCGTTACATGAACGGGCCTCTCCATTTCGCTTGTAGCTTTTTCGTCCCTCTTGAAGGTATGACATTCTGACACACACAGACATAATATATGGCTTCGCCTGAAGTGTTTTTTTCTCATCATACTTACTCCGCTATCTCATCTGTGCTTGTGCTGTATTTCTTCTGCACAGCTCATTCAAATCTTGTTGTCTCTTAACTGCTTCCTTCACATATGCCTGAGGCGATGTCTTCTGTCTTTCATATTCCGGGTAGAAGAACGTCAGGAGCATTGCTCTCGCCCTTTGCCTGTTAACATCATGAAGGGACTGATCCACGTTGTTGAGTGTTGCGTGCTACTGTACGCCCCTACCACTTGCGGCAGATATTTGTCCCAGTTTGTACCTCGAGCAATGTACCCATATACCTCGAGCAATATACACTGAGCATATTCACTAGCGTTCTGTTCTGTTCTGCCTCTCCACGAGTCCATTCGTTTGTGGATGGTAGGTCTTCGAATGTGCCTATGCAATGTGTGATCTTCCCATTAGTTCTTTTGTCAGGTCCCCAACGAAGGCGTTCCTTTTATCAGATTGGAAGGTCATCGGACAACCATACCGTGATATCCAGTGCGTTATCAAGTGATCACAAGTTTCTTCCGCCGAGGCTGCCTGACACGGTACCGCTTCCGCCAGCTTCGTAAAATTATCAATAATTACCAGTATCTGCATATATTCCGAGTCTGTCATGCAGATCTTCTGATGATCTATCTGCACAACCTCGTTGAATTCTGAGCTTTCCACGGATTTGAGAGAGAATTTCGTTTTTCTGGGGTCATTCACTTGCAAACACGACAAACATGCGTTAACCCATCTTTCACAAGCCTTCCTCAACCCTGGCCGGTCAAATTGGTGTAAAATTCTTTGTTGCACCTTAACTATCCCCTGATGTCCCATCTGCTCGTGCGATCTGAACAACACTTCCGTTTGATATAGCTGTGGTAATATGATGAGGTTATGCTTGTGTAGTATCTTCTCTTCGTCTTTTCTCCTGCAGGCTGCCACGCCATCAGCTGTGTGCTAGAGTAAGTCCCTCCGTTCGTTGTAGAACTGGCTCAAGATCTTATAGCTATCCTCTTCCAGGTCTCCTTTATCTTTCTTTCCCGTCCATTTTGAGAGATTACTCGTCATTTGGTCGTTCTTCTGGGCTCGTATCAGATCCGAAAGCCTCTACCTTGCTTTGACGTGCTCCTTCAGGGACATCATTTGTCCGTTCAGTTCCCCTGGATTGTGGATGTCGTCTTTAAGCTTAAGGCATACTATCCTTCTCAAGACCTCCCGTCGCTCTCCGGTTCCAGATTCGTCCTGATGTTTGAATTGCTTGATAGTTCCCTAAAAGGTTTTCTTGATACTGCTATCATCTCAAGCTCTTCCCCTCCGCTCACATCATGATGCTCCAGGTTGAGGGATCACGTCCCGGATGAGGGATCAGTTTGCAATTCGTGTCGTTATACCTCCTTTTTTCGACCAATTCTAATGACTCCCCGAACAAACTTTCCTCTTCAATATCCCTCTCTGGTGTCAGCCACTCCCCGGACTGTTGATCTAGTCCGAGATCTTCAATTTCCTCCTTAAAAGACACTCTCTTCTTTCGTAGCGTTGTTCGTCTGAGGATTTTTTCTAATAATATTCGCACAACCTCTTTGTTCTCTAGATCCCGGCCTTTCATTGAGGTCCCATCATGTGTGACTTCCTCCTTTTCATTACGGTGACTTCCGGTTCGTCATTTTCACCGTTCGAGACCACGGGTTTGAGTTCAGTCAGTTTTTTAAGCAATCTATTCAAAAAATGCTTAGATTTCCTGTCTCCACTTTGTCGAGGTCGTAACCTCTTGCCTTCTACGTCTCCCTTACTATCTTTGACTTTAGCATTATTTCCATTCCTGGATTCTCTTTCCATCCAGGATTTTCTTTTCATTGAGCATCCCGGATTTTCTTTTCAGAATTGCCGTCTCCCGATGCTCAGTGGGTAATTCCGGGTGGTCTTCTATCGGTTTGCCTGATTTGTCGAGCCATCTCGTGAGCAGTAGGCTACCATATGTTTCTCTATCCATAAGTGAGAAACAATCTTTTATTTCTCGTCTATCAGCCTCCCTCTACCCCTGCCTCTCATAGAATTTCGTCTTCTTGCTCAGCATTTTGGCGCTTGTCCCACGTTCTATGTTTAATGATCATGTTGTAACCATCCAACCGAGCTATCCATCTCTCGATATTGCTCTGATCCATTAAGTACCTCTTCAACCAACTGAGTGCCCTGTTGTCGACCCGTAATTTGAAGGGCTCTCTACCCAGATGTGCCCTATACTTTTCCACAAAGGTGACAATCTCAGCTTTGGGTGTCCCGTACTTCATTTCCGTGTCGCTTAAGACATTGATCCCGTAAGCTATCGGTCTCAAGACTGTCTTCCCATTCCACTCCTGTTCTTGATGGTGTATGCCAGAGATCGCGACCACAGATTAGTCAGTGTCCAGTACGTACATTCTCTTCTCTGTAGGCATGCCTAGCACAGGTGCTTCACACAGTTCCTTTTTTATTCTTTGAAACGACTCTTCTGCCGCGTTATTCAACGTGAACTTTTTACCTTTATGCCTCATGAGTTGATGCATTGGAAATATTTTGTCCGCATAGCTATTAATGAATTCCCTGTAGTAATTGGCAAAACCCAAAAAGCTTGTCAACTGGTGCTCAGTTTTTGGCAATTTCCAGGACAGTACTGCCTCTACCGCCTCTGGGTCTGGTCGGATGCCATGTTTATCTACCATCCATCCCAGGTATTTTGTCGAGTCCTTCAGAATCTCACATTTCAAGGGCTTGCATTTCAATCCTGCGCTCTTCATGCTAGCGAATACCTCATCTAGTCGTTCGATGTGGTCCTCCAGGGTAGTTGTTTCCATCACGACGTCATCTACGTAACACATCACCAAGTTACCATATTTCTTTGTCACGCTTGTCAGTTCTTGCGCCATCAGTCGCTGAAACGTGGCTGTCGCGTTGCAAAGGTCAAAGGGCATCCTTTTCCATTGGAAAAATCCCAGCTCACAAGCAAATCCCGTTTTGACCCTGTCTTGTTTCCTGAGTGGTACCTGCCAAAACGCCAAACCTAGATCATTAGTTGTAAAAAATTTTGCATCTTCCAATTGCGAAATACTATCATCAATTCTAGGTATGGAATTGGCATCCTTCACCGTGACGGAGTTCAGATATCGAAAGTCACAACAAAATCTAAGTTGGTCCCCTTTCTTTCTGACCATCACTACCCCACACGCCCACGGTAACTTGGATGGTTCTATCACATCATACACTAGTACGGTCTCCATCTCTTTTCTTCATGCATCTGATTTGTTCGGGGTCATACGCCTCGCCCCCTCTCCCTGTGCGGTACCGCCAATTCTTCTAGCTCTATTTCATGTTCAACGAAATTACAGCACCCGAGGTCTGCTTTATGTCTCAAAAAACCATCCTGATTCCTATCTAGCACGTCCTTGATGATTTCGAGCTGTTCGTCTTTTACCTTTCCCCTTAAGTGTTCAATTTCTGGTAATACTGGATTATCCACTTCCGATTCCTCCGGTGCTGGTCTTTCTGGAAAATTTGAATAGCTCGAAAGTCCATCATCCGTCTCTGACTTAAGCGACTTCACAAGACTTGATGAATATATATATTTTTTCAATCTGCTTAAGATATGAATCTTGTCCTTGTGATTCGGACAATCAAGAGCTTCATTTTCTTTCACATTTTCAGTCTTTTCGTATCTAATTTTCACGGGCATTGCATATCCCAATTTCCTCTCCCTCTGGATTGTGATTGGTATATCAAGAGTAATCAACAAGACACTGACGCAAAGGCCACTCTTGGTTATCGAGAAGGATCATCCTAAAATAGCAGCACTTTGACTATTCGGGTTCGCTACTATACATACTTGTTTTTTGTCACTTAGTTCATTTTAGTTCTTCATCCTCAAACATACTATCGCAGCTTCGTTCGCTTTCAACTTCACCCTCCTGCTCACGAAAACTGGAGTCTTATTCTCACCCGCCATTATCAAATTTGCCGGTTTTATTACGTACTTCCTTTCCGGGTTTTAAATTTTGTTGAGCATTGTTAAGATCAATCGTTACATCAAAATTCCTGATGAAATCTCTGCCTAAAATGAATTGATCAGACTCGCCCAGATTCAGAGCTATTATCGGTGTCCTGCCCAGAACCCGCAATGTTTCCTTGTTTGCCGCTGACAGCCGTACCCTTGAGTCTATCAGGTCGTCTTTGTCGAATCCCATCTTTTCCCATGTTTCAATTGGTATTACACTCAAGACAGCCCCCGTATCCAACATTCCTCGTAGTTTTGTTTTCTTTCCGCTTATGTCCAGTACATGTGCAGACACGTCTTCTTTCGTTCCCAGATGCATGGCATCTTGTTCCAGCATGGCGCAGTGCACAATCGATCTCACCTTGAGTTCTGCTCGACCTACATAGATTTGACCAGGTAGATCTTCGTCACACCTTATCATCGTTTTTGTAAAGATGTTGATTCCGTCTAT